GAAGGAAGAATCATTCAATCATCGATTTTCTTTCTTAATATTCCTGTTTATAATTTTAGTTTCTGATTCATTAAAGAATGATAACAGAAACAGCAGAGTTTGCGACGGTGACTCGTATCTTTTGAATTTGAATGGTAAGCTGGGTCACAAGTGTGACTCGATACGTTACTAGGCAAGGAATTAATCGGCGGAAAATAGACGTTCGCGATATCATGCCAACGGTATCTGTCCTACGATTCGATTCCCGGCCGAACAAAGAGGTAGAGGTCGAACTCTAATCAATTACGACACCTCTGCTTGCAATAGAATACATTATTACCACAGAGGAAGACGCATCGATTCATGAATTTCCACAACAGGATTACTTCAGTAAGGTGACAAGTAAAAAGTTTGCGACCGATGCCACCGATTTGACATGATCGAACGACTGAAATTCAATTTTTCTTGCTTGCGCGAGATAGCGAAGAAAAAAGAAAAACTAAGTGAAAACGGCTGTGTGTAATATGACACGCTATAATTGCAATTACTCGGTATAAGATCGCTTCCGTGTCTAATCGTTAGAATGGTAAGGAAACGAGACAAATCGAGTTACCAATTGTGATACAATTTTTTCTCTAATTTGAGATAAAAGGAAGAGGTTGCACCTTCGTTAACCGTACGGCAGGCGTGTGCCAAGTGTGAAAATCGAATCCTAGCAATTGGGACACCCGGTAGACGAAGGTAAGCGTCTCCGTGCCAACGTTCCAATAACCACCCAAGAGCACAAGGACAGTCTACCCCAGTTTTCCTATTGCGACCGCCTACGGCACGTCCTTCACCCCCTCTCATCGTTACCCAACAACCTTCTCTCTTTCTCTCTCCGTCTCTCTGTCTGTCTTCCGGGCCGATCGGCGCGGAAAATGCGGCGGGAAAATCGATGCTGACCGGACGCCGAGGAAATTCGTGAGGCGTGAGACCAACGTGGCACGGATAAAAGGGTGGAGACCCGGTGGAAAGGCCGACACCAGAGAGGGTGATCATCCCCTTGCGTCAAAGACGAACCAAGAAATGCCTTCGTTTCAAGGAGGAAAAAAAAAAATAGGGACGCGGATAAACTACACGTTTCACGCGAACCTGGACACGGATGAGCTATAAAAAAAAAGAAAAAGTTTTACGGCGCCTCCGACGAAGCGGACCTCTCGTGGAAGTCGCGATTTAAACGCGTCCGCAGGCGGGAAAATTGAATTTCGATGTTGCGTTATAATACTGCCAGGTGCGATTCGTCGTGTTTAAATTGGAGAACGACACGAACGAGAGACCTACTAGCATCGTGGCAGGGAAATCGGCAAAGAAACCAACGTTCACTGTACGGAGCTCGCTTTCCTTTTTCCTCTGGTATTTTAATGGACAGCCGCGAACGTAACGTTGACGCCAGATAATAATCTTTTACCCGGTCGATGCGTGTCAAGGAAAACGTCGGCTCCGTTCCTCTCTCGGGCGCGGGGGTAGCGAACAAAGATCTATCGGGACAAAAGTTTCTCGAATCCTGTGAATCGTACGAGGCACGATCGAACAAGCCGCGTTCCACTAACGCAACTTTCTATAAGTGGAGCGGGGCAGAAAATTTTCCTCGCAAGTTCGTGAACCGTGAAAGTCGAGGCGACTAGTTTGTTTCGCGGTACATAATTCGTCGCGTGTTACCAGATTTTGATTTCGTCAGGAAAGAAATGTTACCGAGTTCCACTGGAACGATGGGAGGTAAGTAAGAAACGATGAAACACAGTTTAGCCTAGGATTCATCCGGAGGGAGAGAGAAAAAGGTGTCGTCGTCGCGGCGAGTATAGAGAAAGGTACCCGAAGGAGGGTAACCGCAGACAGGAAGTTAGTCCTTCCTTCCTCGCCGGGCCAATATCCTGAATTACAATGAGCCAGCGTGCTTCCTCGAACCGTCAGCTATTTAAATACAACCACCGTCAGGTTTCCATATATCGCTTCAATAGCATTCCCCCTCGGCAACAGTTGTTGCACGAAACGCCGCGTCCATCTTATCGGCATAGTAAAGAAAGGATATGATAATGAAGATTATACAACGCCAACTGATGAAGGTGAAGAGACATGTGAAAAGATTACTGCAATCTGCATCGATGCAATTCGTATGCAGCGAAAGAATTTTTCTACTCGACCCATTCGATATTCTCTTTTTACATATAAGGACGCGTCCTACATAGTTTCTTTTCCTGGCTCGTTAGTCAAGAACGCAACCCTTGGTCACCGATTAACCCTGCGATGTCCGGTTCGATCGACAGACACTGTTTTTCATCCCCCTCGAGAGGATCGAGCGGTCTTCATTTCCTGATTAACCCGACGACGACGAGGACGACGACGGCGGCGGTTCTCTTCAGACATAGAAGAGGAGAGCAGAACCGGAAGTAATCTGTCTTCCTCTGGCGAGCCACTCTCGCGAAAGGAGTAGTACAAGAGGACGAGGGAACGGCGGAAGGAGAGAAGGACGGATAGAACGTCCGCTCGAATTCACATGGAGTGATTTAAAGGCTGGAATTATCCTTTTCCTACCCTTCCATACCTATTTTCTCTTACGCTCGCGCTCTTTAACCATTATCTATATATCTTCTACTATGAAGCTTTTACATCCTAACACGAGGATGATCATCCTCTATTTTAACCTAAACCGTAGCAGATCGGACCGCCCTATCGTCCCTTTCGCCACGCGTTTCCGACCATTCGTGAGGGTATTAAGAAGAATTGGGAGCGTGCGATTTCCTTTATAATAGATAAAAGAAAAATCGCTTTCTATCGTTTATTGGCACGCCCCCACCACGGCACCGTTTTTATCGGGTAAAGTATTATTAATAAGTCCGCGCGCTCGTCGACTCCGCTTTTAATCAACTCTGGATATATACGTAAATCGAGATGGAGAAGAAAGTAATAGAAAAGGTGGAACAAAGATCGTTTGAAGATTGAAAAGGAATCTGATTACATTTGTGATACAGCACGCATAAGACTAACCAAGAATCCGAGCTGTCGCGGGGAATTGGAATTTATAATCCGTCGACCGCTGCTACCTGCCCCGTGAAAGGTTTCGAAAGTTTTTCCGGGTGCCGATGGAAAAAGAGGGGAAAGACCGCAAACGCCAACGAGCCCGGCCACCGGTAGCACCAACAGTAAACTTTAGAACGCCTTCCGGCCAAAATCTACCTCTCCGTCTCTCTCATTTCCTTTTATCACCTCCTTTTGGCCACGGTTTGCTTTCAACGAAAACAGAAAATCCTGGTAGCTAGGTATCGGATGAAGCGAGACAGTTTCTGTTAGTTTCGACTTTTCTCTACGAACTATAGAGCGGGGAAAGGGTTTCAAATGAAATGGTATCCTTGTTTTCCCTTTACTTTTTTCCTTTCTCCCTTATAAACGAACCCTGTCCTTTTTTTCACACGAAAAAACTACGGCAAAAAGTGTTGACGTTCCATGGTTGACGAAGTTGAAGGGGCGCGTTGCTTTTTTACGGTCCAAAATTTTGGGGACGAGTTGTTTCGACGTTTCGTTTTTCCCTTTCATTTTTTACCACGCTCCAGGGTACACGTGCACGCTGGAGAATCACTACTTTTCTCGACGGTCATCGTTAATTTTTTCAGAAAAAATATATGTATTTTGATGATACCGTTTGAAGGTATTGGTTGCTCTCTAGCCGGAAGTTTGGGAAAACATTTTTAACCCTTTCTGGGACGCGTGCGATCCCAAACCAGTAGGGGGTCCTTTTTCTCCCTCGAACATTCTAAATGGTAAGAAAAGTAGAGGCGTGGTCCTTTCGGAGGACGGAGAGAAAGTTGACCGGGGATTTTCGAAAAATTTCTCTCATTTTTCATTTTAGTCACAGCCTTCGATCGTTCCCGACGGTTTTTCCCTAAATTCAATACGAATTTTTCAACTTTCACCGTTTCTGTTTGTCCGAGAAACAAGCAGATTTCCGAAGAAGGATTCTCAAGGAGAAAAGCATGAAATCTCTTTTTTCTTTAAGGAATCTTCGCATTGAAATCGAATTGAAACCCAATTGATAATATGCGTCTAATTAACTAGAAAATTATAGAAATGTAGTGAGCGTGTTGAAAGCAGAACGATTATCAGGCAGAGCATCGAGGAAGAGGAGAAAGGCCTAAGAGCAAGAAACGGGAGCGATACGAGATACTAATTTCGTTGGGGTTGGGGCAGGTCACAAGGTATTATCTCCGCTCGGTGGTTGGCGGAGGATACGGCGGAGAAAGGGGAGTACGCGATAACGGGAGAAATTGCAAAATTATATTCGAAGAGCCGAATATCGCTATGGCGTTACCGTCACCCGACTCTCATCGTCGAACGACCTTCGCGGAGCGGCTTGCGTAATATTTTTATCGGCCGAAATTACACATACGCGCGGCATACGTTCACGCATGCACGCACGCACGCACGCACTGCCGAACAGACTCACGTATTTTCGGTTGCGTGAGTGCGACACGCACTCTACCGGTCCCTGCCTTTTTTTATTTCCCTGCATTCCCTTTTCCCTTTCGCCGGTGCATCTTCGATCGTGCGTACAGCTACGCGTCAACGGGAATTTAAATATTTTATTCTACTCGGAACCGATACAGCAGGCATTCATTTTACATTCACAGCCGAACGGACTAGCGCGGATATTTATATTTCATTTGACCCTAGATACAGAGAAATAATTATCTGTCAAAAAGGATCGATTAACCTATGAAAACAACGCGGGTAAAGAATCCATCAACTTCCTGCTCCGCAAGCATCCGCTTCAAGATCCGCCAGATAAAAAGGTTATGAATCGGTACAGACAACGATCGGTTCGCAATTACCGAGAAACGAGGCAAGAAGATTGTAAATGTCACATGCCGTGAACCGAAAGATCAAGAGATTCGATCTACGAGCTATTTCGTTAATTGAATTTTTCGAGCGAAAAGGCGCGAGAATGAAAAAAAATATGAATACTAAGAATCGTATGGAGAACTCACGGTATCGTCTCATAAGATTCTTCTTGTAAGGTTTGGTGCCCGGTGGTCTGGATCTCGACCTCGTGGTGCCGTCTTTTTGATTGTTGTCGGAACACGAGTCGTCGGAGTCCTCGGAACAGGTACGATCCTCCCTTTCCTGGGAATATTCGCCGGACGCGGCACCGACGAAACATCCTCGTAACCTGAGCGCGGCCGCGGCGTTCCCGTAGTCGTCGATCGGTACCTTACGTTCCTGATCCTGATCGTTCTCGTCTCTCGAGAACTCGGCATAATCGCCCACCCTAACGCTCAAGTCCAACGGTTGATCCTCGAGCATCTCGTATCAATCTTTGCCAGCTCGTTTACCGAGATCTGCCAGCAGTCTGTTCACAAAAGTGATCCACGGCTACCACGGCAGCATAGTTGCCATCTTGATTCCTCAACGATTTTTACTCGACACTTGCTCGCAACAATGGAACATTACATTCCAAACGGGATACTCGATGTTCGAATGTTCGATAAAGTAAAGCACCGATGGCCACTCGATGGAGAATTTTCCTCGATTAAACACAATCCACGATTATATCGAACCGAACAATCGACGCACAATGAAAATGTCACCGAACGAGAGGATCTCTCCGTGTCAGTTCGTCTCGTCTTTCTTAACGAAAGTTAAATTCCGATAAGTTGCAGCCGAAGGATAGTAAAAGGTGGAAAGTGAAAGAGAAGTATCTTCGTGGGAGGTAGAACTGTTCCAGCCGATGCGATGCGATGCGATGTGACGCGTTCGTCCCGTGTGGCACGCGTTACGCACAAGCGGATTATTCTGCCGCCAACTTCTCGCGGCAAAACAGTTTTCGATACTAGCAGCAACGTTCGAGCGTCGCGCGTATCGAGCGATCGATCATTCCTCGCGCGTTTTTCCTTGTTCGAGCACACCAACGTACGTTGCACTTGCCGCGAGGAAAATGGAGTGACAGAGAAGAAAGGGGGGGGGGGAAAAAAAAGAAAAGAAACGAGAGCGTGACAAGGCAGCAGTCAGCTTACGAGAAGACGGTCGAAAGTAAATGGTTGGCAATGTATCACGTATGTCTTCGAGAGCTCCTGGGATCGAAGAGAATAATATCGGTCGCACGTACAAGCACTTTTGAAAACAGAACTCTGTTTACTCGGTATTACTAGGTTTCCTCACTTGTACGCGTTGCTCCCGTGTGCGGATGTATTGTATATAAACGGGCAGTATGTAGCGTGTTTTGTCGCGGAGGAGAGCCAAGAGGCAAGAAAGAGAAAAAAATAAAAGGCGAGGACAGAGAATTGCCGAAGCGTATCCACGTTCTCCGCACCGAGGCTACGGTTGCCGGTGGCACACTGACTGACTCGGAACCGGGGTAGCCCGCTAGTCCAGACTCGTTCACTCACTACTCCAGACTCACACTCCAACTACGAGCGCCGGACTCGCTCTCGCTCGTGTACACCGAACACAGTACTCTCGGGCCGCCAGCCGACCGCGTTCGGGACTTTCCGTCGGCCGACTTCGGTTCTTTTCGGTCTCTACACGCCTCGTGAAGAGTCGCCGACTACTTCACGTACACACCGTCACCCACACACAGTCGCGAGCCGTCGCTCGAGATGCGCGGATGCGTAGCCTACCGCAATGTTCGAAGCTCGTGATGCTCTCTCCCTCCACTTTCAGCACTCTTTTCTCTTTACCTCTCTCTCTCTCTATCTCCCTGATTTTTCCTTTTCTTTTTTCTTCTTACCACCTCTACCTCACGCCCTTCCTTTCATCTTATTTTTCTTTTCTTTCTCGATTTCGCGAGGAAAATCTATTTTCCGTCTTATTGGGATAGGACCCACGAAAACCAGCCCAGCCAGTTGGCGGAGCTGGTGTCGTGACATTAACCTTCGATCGGTGATGCTATAAACGACGAGTAGGCGACAAGAGATACGAGCCTTTTTAACGGGACAACCTTTTCTTTTTTTTCTTTTCAGTCTAGCCAGACTGATTGATCGAGGGGAATAAACGCCTCGAATCGTTTCACCGGGATAGATATCGATGTTCTCGAGCTCCTTGGTCCCTGACATTGTCTTCTCGAGGATGAATTCGAGCGACGAGAGAAGGAGCTGAATACAGGACGGGGAAGGAAAGGAGACTGGTACGATTGCGTATGCACGATGAACAGACAATAGGTGAACGTGCGTGCGAGGTCGCGGCGGAAAGGAACTTCCAATTCGACGTGTCTCGTTGCAGCCGGTAAACACAGGTGCAACGAAAACGTCGGAAGTGTTTTTGCAACGGGGCATACAATGCGAACCTTGAAACTGACCGATTTCGTAACCCTTCGTTCGGCTCCTTGGCGTCGCACCGTTTCTATTACAATGCAACCCCGCAGAAAAACAATCTTCTATTAAGATAATATTTTGCAACGAATAATCTTCGATTAAAATTACCATATTTTATTGCTATCAAATTGTAATTAAAGTATCATTCGAATATGAAAACAAGTTTTTATTTTATTATTCGCCTATCTTTTTCCTCGATGAATCGTAGCTACGGATCGGTATTGTCCTCGTTAAATTTCCAGCCAACTGTTGAATCTCTCACGTGAGAGAACGTGTAGGGCGAGCACGATAGGAATCGTACATAAATCGTTGTCGATTATCAGTGGCCGCTTATCGGTCGGCTATCTCGCATACAATGCGTGTGCGTGCACAGGTCGCGATCGCATAAGAAAGCGAGCTTCGATAAATCCTGATTCTTTCCTTCCACGCTCGATGCACCCGTGCCTTGTTTCGAGGATTTCGAGATTCCATCCTGGAGTTACTACTTAGGTACCAAGGTTCCTCTTTGATAGGAAAGGTTTCGACTAGACTGATACTTTTCCTCGATAACGGGCCTCCTGGCCTTAATTGCATTTCCTGCCCTGCTCCAAGATGCAATTCCATTGTTCGACCGCCAAAAAGCTAGCGCTTTTCGCGAAACTCGTACGTGAATCGAGATTAACGATTTCGAGGAAAAAATTCGTTTGGTTACACACGGAAATACGCTTTGTTTTTGTTGGACCGTGAAACGTGACTCATCTCCATTTTTGATATTTCGAAATTCGCTCAGCATTTTACGAATGTATAACTGGTCCTTTAAAAATTCTTTTATTCATCGATTTCTCGATCGATCAAACGATGTTTTCTTATAGCTTCGCATAGGTTAATCGAAGAGTCATCATTTCCTGGAAATATTCGACGAAGATCCGTACGATCTGTCGGCAGGAAATTCGTTGGATCCAGCAAGAAAGAAAGGAACATCCGCGTCAAAGGATACTCGCGTAGAAACGAACTCAACGTCGCGATCCTCGATTTGTCGTTCCACAGCGAGATGCAGAAGTCAACGGTGAGCCGAGGGACAGGCAAGAGAGTTATTTTAGCGCAAAAACGAGCGACGCTGCCGGCCTGGGAGAGAAAACCTCGTAACTCTCGCCGATCTCGGAACGGGACGACGCCCAATCCAGGAAAACTACGATTTCTAATCCATCAACGTGTTCCATCTACGACAGGATGTCACCTTGTACGCGTTCCACTCTGAACTTGCACTATTTCCGATCGAACCTGCTTATTCACGCCTTTGCTATTCGGCTACCATCGAGTACCTCTAATGTTCATCATCGAGATATTTCTAAACGAAAGTGCTACATATCTGCCAGTCAACGAGACAATGTTGCTTCTCCCTTTCTAAGCATCAATTAGTATCTCGATAAGTTTCTAATTAAAGTCTAGCTAACGAATCACGAATTTCGTTGCTTCACTTTCATTTTCGCGGTCCGTGTCCTCTCTGTCGATTTTCTTTTTCTCGACGGCGCGGCGGTGCACGATTTTCCAAAGAACAACCGACGGTGTCGCGTTCTCTTTCCTCCACTTTCTACGGCGAGATCCATCGATCATTCGGTCTCGTGAATATTGGTCAAACGAAACGGGAGGGAAAAAAAGAAAAGTAGAGAACGAAGACGATCGGACGGTGAGCAGAAGAGTTTCGAGGGAAAGGACAAGAGAAATTTCCTTTTTTTTTTACAGGACACCGAGCAACAGACGCGATATTTCCTGTCCGAGCGACAGCGAAGAAAGTGTAACTAGGTCTTCTTTTTTTCCCCGGCCTCGTGTTCCCCTGCAATTATAATATCCAGCCTGCCGATTCGATTAAGCGGCTCGTTGCTCGAGAAAGAGTTTGTTTCTACCGACACGCATTCGTCAACATTCTAGGTTGAAATCGTATCAGTGAAATTCTTCACGGAATTATGATAAAATCATTCGGTGGGGAAAAAATGATACCTTAGACAACAAGGTAAACGTGAATTCCTTTTCGAATGACGACGAAACACAGAAAGCGAAATGAATCGGCGAATCTCGCTGAATTTCAGCGCAAACTTTCGTCGAGACGTCGCGATTCGCGGCGATTTTAATTTCTTGTCAGAGACAGGTAGACGAGAGAAAGAGACGAGGAAGAGGTATTAGTTGGCGATTCAGGCCGAGACTAACGCGCACTTTTCCTCGACTACACGTTTCTCCCGTCCACCTTCGACGCGGATGATTTCTTTCGTTTTGAAGCGCCTTTCTTTTTCATCGATTTACTCGTTTAACTGGTATAAACGTACCTGAGACCCTTTACCCTGGTAAGAAGCCCAGATTTACAGTGAGAATTCGACGGCAGCCCGATCGAAAGGAATCGACGATAGGTTTTTCACGGTGATTCGAATCGAAAGGTGTTTCTGGACGAACAGTCGATTAGAATCGAGGGAACGAAGAGGTGGCCGGTTCCGTGGCCGGTTGCCATGCCGAACAAGCTTTGCTGCTGCTGCTGTTGCCGTTGCTCCAAGTGTCAGAAACCGTGAAGGCACCTCCTCTCGCGATCGAGACTTTCCAAGGACACGAGGGTGCGTGGATCCGTGGCGTGCGTGTTTCGCTCGTTTTCCTTTTCACCGCGAAAATCATAAGCCGCGTCGAAGAAAGAAAAGTCCAACAGTCGCCAGCGAAATCGCCGCCACGTTCCACATAACACACCAGCTATTACGCCAATTTCCCTATCGCCGAGATTTTTCTTCTCCACCACGCGCCTGCCTCATCCAGAACGCTTTCTTTATAACCGAGCTATAAACCGACCATTAACGATCCAATTAGGTTCAATGTCGATCGAGAGGGAAAGATAACGCAGCTGCGTGATTATTTCGATGGAAAACGTTCGTTTTCTCAAATGCAATCATTGTGATTTCGGTGTACCACGAAAATTCTATAAAATAGGCACGTATCTGTGCGAGGAACACGAAATGCAGAAGAACAGGGGGAGCCACGGAACGGCATTAGGATGAACAGGGAAGACGGGGAGGTCGAAGACGAAGACGAAGAGGAAGAGGAAGAGGAGGGGAAAAGAAGAAGAATCCCCCTTGGCTCACGTCCGCGAGAACCGGAAAGATTCCCTCGATCCGCTACGAACGGCTTCCAAGGTCCGCACTCTTCGTATTCGAACGAATTCACAAGCACACGAATACACCGCGTACGGAAGAGGGAGAAAGGAGCGTGGATTCGAACGCTCACGCACTCTCGCGCCCTCTCACACGCGTGCTTCAGACGCACGTCCGGCCAAACGAGCCGCGAGGTTATTGTTTAAACCGTTCCCCTTTATTGTGTCTACAATGTGCTCGGTCACACGCGGCCGGAACAAGCAGCCGCCAGTGCGGCCCTTCTCCTCGCTAAACGACCTTTTTATTTTATTATTCTATTCGGTTGCTGCACCTCGCGCTCTTTGCTGGGCGTTGCCCCGCGACAGACGAGCGACTCTTCGAATGGCCAGCATTAATCAAACTGCTACAACAAACGATTTCGGTGAAAATCCTCATTCACCGTACTGGACCCGCGAGAATTCTATAATTTATATATCTACGGGAGATTGGAAACGTTTGTCTCGTTCTCACGCCGTCATTTCCTGTGTACCAGTGTCGCCTCCGTCTTCGAGCGTAGATCGTAATCGATTCGAACGCTGCCACTGCCGTCACACGCGTCGAGGACATAATTCATTCGCGGGGTATTTGCACGGGGGAATAATTTGACGCAGCTCGTTTCCCGGCTACGAGGCATTATCCTCGCCGCATCTCGCGAGATGCCACGGCTAGTATCGGAGCATAGCACCCGAGCACCTGCGCTCAAAACCAGAACCCCCGTCCGTTCCCGTTCCCGGTCTGTTCAGTCAAGAGCCGAAGGTACTGAGGCAGGTCCGGGGCGGGACGATTATTGCTAAAACGCGTTCGTTATTGTGTCTACAAAGTCGATCGCGAATCAGTCCTCTTGGCACCGTTCCACCTACGTGGTCGACCGTGTACAACTTTGCTCGGCCAACCTCTCTCCTTCGCGCCATCAAGTGGCGCGCTTCTTGGCAGGAAGTTGAATCGCGTTTAATTTACCATACCTTCTCCGCTGCCCACAAATTCCTCGCGACTATTTATACACCCCGGTGGCTATATTTATCGCCATTCGGTCGCGTTACAATGGCAGATTGTTCGTTTGGATAAAAGAAAAATAGGGATAAAGGAACCGTGTCGAACGCGTCGAGGAAGATCGTCGCGCGGTTAGGGAGAACAGTCAGTCGAGTTTGCCAACTGGCAAGCCTCGATTCTTCCTAGTGACACGGAAACGCGCGACACAAGGGATTTCCCTCCGATGGCACGTCGAACGATTTTCTTTATCAGCGGATAGTCGGACGCGCGTCGATCCGTGAACCGACCGGACAGACAAATCGTCCTTTACGTATTCCCTTTCGAACGTAACAAATCAGCCAGCGACGGCCAGTTGGATCGCAGTTGCGGTACGCTTGGCAATAAATCGTGTTTGGAGTAGGTAGGATGGAAAGCGCGGGACTCGTCCCATCGTGGTATCCGTCGTCTCGAAGGCACACGTCGTGCTGCCCAAAGAGCACGACGCTCGTCGCATCTTTCTCTGGCCAAAGTGGATGATAGAGGGAGAAGAGGAACGCGGTACACGGTGCATCTAGCAGAGATGGCGAACGTAGAAGCGAGTCGCGTGCGTGCATGTGCGAAGCTAGCGGCCCCCGGTTGCATGTGCACACGTCTCCGACCGGCGACTTGGAAAGGGGAAGTCGTCGACGTCCGAGGATCGAGAGAACGAGCTGAAACAGGAGGAGGAGGAGGAGGAGGTGCAATGGCGCGGCGAAGAGGAAAAGAGGGAGACTGGCGAGGAAGGTGGCGGTAGGATGGCTAGAAGAGGGGAAAGAGGGTGGACGGACAGACGGACGGACTCGAGAGGTGCAGCGAACTCTCCCAAGGCCTGCCTACCCCCACCGAGCGTACAACTGCAACTGCAACTCTCGCGGACCGGAGCCGAGGAAGCAAAGACTATGCGACGCGTACGGGCCATTCCACGTCAAAACGCACCGCTCTTGCGCTCGTACTTATCCATTTTTTCAACTTTACACCTCCATACGTAAAATTGCAGCTTCCTATTCGAAATTGTTTTCGAGATATTCCAAATGTTAACGCGTCGACTATCGCAGTAGAAAATGAAACATTAAATAAATTGCAGGGGTATTAACCTTGTCTTCGTAATAGCAAACATGGTACATTACTTACTGCAACTATGAAGGGGAGCAACTCGAGCACCGAGGTGACCCGACACCTTCCGCGAACCTTTTATTTCACCTATCCCACCGACGACCCATTTTTTTTTTAACGCTCATCCAACAATCGCCTTTTCCCTACCGTGTCTTTAAGCATCTTCCAAGTTGCTTTAAATAGCTACTTTATTTTTATAGTTTCAACAGCACGAGCTGTTCGTCGCACGAGCATCTCCAATTCTGTTGTGAAATTAAAGTCGAACGCTTATAGCAGTCAACGACAGTTAAAGGGTCAATATAATACAATAGGAACGACATGATAATGGCATCGAAAGCGAAATGGTATTTAGAGTCAAACGCTTGCTACGTCCTGAAGAACGTATTTACAGACAAAGGGATTAACCTTTAAAGGGAACAATTGGGTAATCAGGGTACCTATTCAAGGTATATTGAATGAAGATCCGTTACATAAGGATGTATGATAATTATGATGAAACAATCCACGTAAAAAGGGGGATTTATCGCAGAGAAAACTAGTGCGCAACCGGGTTGGCCCGGGTAAGGGGTTAAGAAAGTCGATGATCGTCCACGTCGACGCCTTTTCTCCCGTGGTATCCTTGAAATCGTATCTCCTCCTATCCTTCGCGTTACATACCTCCTCAAACATTGACGTCACAGAGAGTGCAACGGCGCGAGCTCGAGACGACGAACGTTCGTCGAATTTCAATCCGCCCCGGAACGATTTCGAACGCGTCGCGCATTTTCAAGCGGTTACAGTGTAAACAGAGAGACACATGTACGTAAGTACGAGAGGAGAACCGCGAGTAGAGTTCGGTTGGCGCAAAAATACGCCTCATTTGTGTCACGGTGTTCGCGCGGCTGTCATGCAGGCTGCGTCATGCGACGCGGTTAAAAGTGACTCAGGTTTTATTTCCTGCTTCGAGTTCTACATACGTACATATGTAGATAGCATAGGCTAGTCGCGCGAGTATAGCCGGAGAATCGATAGGAAAACGAAGCGATTGCAGGTCGACACGCGGCGCGGGTCGAAGCGGTCTGCGAGCGAACGCGAGCTGGCTTTATTATCTGCTCGAGTTCTGGGTCGATTGTTAATCGCACGCGCGGGTCTGCACACCGGCGACCAACGATCCCGCCAGTCCACTCGCATCTCGTCCTTCTTCTCTGACTAATCCTTTTTTCTCCTCTCTTCCTCGCCATCTCTTCGCTTACTTCTCTTACCAACTGGCCTGAGCATCGTTAAATTTATTCGCTGGCGTAACCTGTCGCGGAATTTTCGGCCAACGAATTAATGATACTTATCGTTAGCAGAATCGCGTTCCTCTCCTTCTTTGAAACCTCGTGCAATTATTTCACGTATCGTTTCCATATTTGCCGGTATAACGCGTTATCGCCTCGATGTTTATTCGCGTCGCGATGCGTCTCTCCTCGCGTTGCCTGGAAAACTCCGGCAATAAAGTTGCGCGCGGTAATTCGAAGATAAACACCGCGCCGGGAGTCGAGATGTTGCGTAACTTGAATAAGGGTGGGAGCTGTGTGTCGTTTCGATCTAAATCGAAATTCGGTAGCTACGTTAAATCGCTACGTTTTTACGTTCGACCGATCGCGGATGCTGCCCTGAGCCCCGTCACAAGATAAAAGACGCCGAGAGATTGGCACGAACATCGTAAAGCTGTCTCGCGTTTTTGCTCATTTAAATCCTACGTCCAGCAGGAAAAACCTGGTCATTTTGCGTTTGTACGAACAATGTAGCGAGACTGATCTCGATCGAAGAGTTAAAATTATGCGACGGGTAAAGAATGAACCTGGTCTGATCGGAGGATGGCAAAGTGGCACACGACGCAGGTGGAAATGGTTGATCGTACGTGGCGCAAATCGAAAGTGAGATCGAGATCACCGGGTGGAGGAGAAGGCGCGGGGAGAGGTTGCGTTGGGTCTAGTTAAGGAGATAGTGACAAGTAGCTAAGGTAGAGGTTCGCACGAGACTCTCGACGACATTTCGGGCCGCGTGATCCATCCTTTCCATTGGTATACCGACAACTACGTTCACCGTATGTACGTACGTGAAACGGTGAACGAGCTCGTTCGCCACGCTAGCCCTGGCCTAGATAAGCCGGCTGGCTACTCGGCTTTGCATCGTTGCATCGCTTTAAACAGTCGCGCCGCGGAAGGTTCGACACGGAGACCCTTGCTAAAACTTCAAACTTTTCATTTACACCTCAGTTTTCGATTGATTTCATTCCTAACATCCCTCGATTTCGCGTTTCCCTAACGTCGATCTAACGCCACCCGACTCGAAATTGAAATTGAAATTGAAACACGCGGACTCTCTCGTAGCTTCGCTAATTTCCGTGACTCGTTCTCGTGACACCGTTTCCCCGTAGTTATCGTCGATGTTCGTATCGTTACGAAAGAAGTCGATACTTCGTAAATTACGATGTTCCTCTTACTCTTTCTTTTTTCCATTCCTCCCTTCGCTGCCGCGACTTTGTCGTCGAGCATCAGCTCGCTGCTATTCCCACAACGATTGTTCTGAAAAGGGGAACGAGAGCAGCGAATTTTCCTTCCTGATAACCTGATAATGGCACGCAAACAGCGAAGAGGAAAATACATACGAGCCAGCGTTGATTTATAGGATTATTAATAAGCTTCGTTTCGAGTAATCGTACGAGGGGAGGAGACTCGATGTCTCGAGTTTCGATCAGAGAGGAAGTAGAAAGAGATCTCGGTCGTCGTCGCTCCGAGGGGATTCCACGCTGAGAACGCGGCTTAAGGTCGCGTGAATCCGCGCACCGCAACAGCGGACACCGAGAAACTATGCCGTTTTTTCTCTCCCGCCTCTTTCCTTTTCTTCGGCTGGCAAACACCAGACTCGCCTTTCCCTCGCCACCAGTCCACCTTCCGCTCGATGCCCACTTTTCCTCGCAACGCACCAACGAAATCGACACTT